AGGAAGTTGTACATCAGACCAGTGCAATCGGTCATGTCCTTCATTAGTAGAGTAGAATGTAGTTTGTTTTATCTCCTCCATTAGTGGAATAGAACGTAGCTTGTTTCAGAGGCAGATAACTTCTTTTTGCTGCATGGAATAAATACTGTATGTTTGAGTGGAAGAGCCCGAGTTCCCTCATTTCTCACTAGCAGTGCAAGACTTCTTCTCATTGCTTAGGAAGTGGAAGTAATACTTCAATGTACAGAACAATGAGAACAGCATCCAGCCCTTCTGGCTTATTGCCCATAGCTTCCAGCTCCACGTTCTGGGGAGCTGGAGGGTGTGTTTGGCATGCTTCAGAGAGCCGTGGCTGGGGAGGTCCAGGGGACCTCCCGATGGAGAACAGGATGGGATCTTACCGCTCCTCTTGTGACGCTTTCTTCCTCCTGCTGCGCTTCGGTCTGGCATGAAATGAACTGTGAGTAACTCTCAAGAAACTTTTGCTTTATTACAGACCCTATCTTAGACACTGAAGTTGTGTCTCAGTACCCAGTGGATTGCTTTTTTTTTGCGTAGCTGTGCTCTTCAGTTGATCAGAATCGTGCCCAATAAAGGTTTCCATGTGGGTGAATCCCAGCCTGTGGCGATGCCGCGGGTTGGGGCTGCAGGGCAGAGCTGCTCTTCACCTTCTGATGCATCTGTCAACTGATGTTTTGCAGAAGAGTAAATGAGGGGAAAGGGATTGCTAGAGCACAGATACCCATCATGTGGTTTCTTATGCTGGGTGTCTTCTTAAACCTGTTAGAATAATAACCAAGCTGTACTGCAGCGCTTTAATCTAGCTTAATTGTAGCCCGGTGCTTTTTGCATTGAAATGGCTCAGGCAAACCTTTGTTTTGAAATATTTCTCTTTGCTGCTTCCAGTTTTGCACACGGATTTCAGTTGTATCCTGATTGAAGGAATTTTGGCATTCCAGTAGATGGCTCTTCAGTGTCCCGTTTGCAACCCACGCTAGGGAAGAAAAGGAGAAGGATAGAAAAATGAACTGACAGATAGAGGGACGGGACAGAGGATTACAGCACTCTCCAGCTTCTTACCAATGTTTATTATTGTATTGTTTCAGTATTTCCCCTTTCAAAGTGTTTTCTAGGTTTCCTGGACTTAGACTCTGCTCCTCTCAGCCTCCTGTGTTCCCCATGCATCCAGCCAGCACTGTCAGAAGGCTTGACTCGTATTTGCCTCCCGGTTTAGAACTGATTCTCCTGGTGTATGTTTTACAGATATTTCACTTCTTCCTGGCTTTCTGTACTTCTCAATTGAAATGTTCAGGAAGCTTTCAGTGGAGATGAGATAGAGAAGGATTTGTGTGACTGCCCATTTGTATTTGAAAAAACCTTTTTGGGTGTCACCCGAGTCATCTCATTTATTACAGTGAGGGTGGTAAAACACTGGCACAGAGAGGTGATGGATGCCCCATCCCTGGAGACATTCAGGGCCAGGCTGGATGTGGTTCCGAGCAACCTGATGTAGTTGAAGATGTCCCTGCTTGTTGCAGGGGGGTTGGACTGGGTGAGCTTTAAAGTTCCCTTCCAACCCAACCTACCCTATGATTCCAACCCAAACTACTCTGTTATTTGGTGATCTCGGTGCGTTCTGAGATGCCTGCAGCTTTGCAAGGCTCACGTGGAATATTTGTGAGACTCGGTAATCCCATGTGCTGAGAAAGGCAGAGCAGGATGAAAATCAGTTGTATTCTCAGACATGGAGCTCAGTGCCTGCTTTTTTAGCATGTGATTTGAGCTGAGAGAAGGAGAATTGAAAAGAACAGTTGTGGTGCTGACTGGCACGAAGAACTGAACAGCACTGCATCTTCTGGATAGGGCTGAAGGTTGGTAAGACACTGGTGCAGCTTTGCTTTGCCAGCCTCTGTGTCCTTGCAGGGTTAAAAGTTGGGCTTTTCTAGCTTCTTTCTCCTGCTGCTGTTTTGCCAGTGTTACTGATGAGAGGTATTGGCATGTTCTTAACACCACCCAGAACCTGCACCCCACCACCTCCCCAGCCAATAAAGCTGTTTGCTGTGGATGCAGTGGGGCCCCCGAGGGGCCCAGCATGGAGCCATTGAGCCTCCTGATGGGAGGTGGCTGTGCTGGGTTCCCATGTTTCGGGTCTGCCAGAGCAGTATCACAGCAGGGTGTCCCCAGCAGGGTCCAGGCTGTGTGCAGAGCAGATGTGACTCAGAAAGCAGCAGGGCCAGGCTCATCCTGTGCTTGGCTGCAGCAGCCTGGTCCTCAGGTGGCTTGACCTCTTCTCCCTCTTTGTTCACAAACGTGTCAGGCCCTGTACAGACGTGTTCTGCCCGGTTTCTCTTGAGCCTGGTGAGAGGGAAGTTCCTGATCTCACCAGAACACAGACAAAAGCAGGGTAGAACTTTGCTTGCAGCTTTTTGTGCTTCCTCTATTGTGACCCTTCCCCCTTTGGACTCCGGCCCTTTCCCCTTTTCACAGGTCTCTCAGCCTTCCACCCATCTTAGGTTTACAAGTAAGTAAGACCTTCCCAGTCCTCTCGATCCCTTTGGTGGGTGCTTGTCCATGGATACTGGCAGAACCTCCAGACGTTGCTTAGAGTCTCGGTTGATGGCTGAGGTGTGGCAGCAGTAGGTAACGTTTGAAGTGTTGCTCTTTGAGGTGATGCTGCTTCATGGACCACAAACACCTTCCCATTCTGTTGGGGTCATCCCACCTCTGCAGTGCTGCTGTCTTCCTAGCATTGCTGGGTGCCAACTCAGGAGAACTTCTATAGTCCAAAACAAGAGGTAGCAGAAAGCCTTTATTGGCTCTGGGGCTTTGCTCTGTTGTCCGGGTCCTTTTTGGTTGTCCTCTTGAGACCCAAGAGAGGAGTTGGGTCCAGAGTTCAGCTTGCTTTGAGTGAGCTTTTGAGCTTTATACCTAAAATACGATGGCAGCAACCCATGAACCAGTTAATTCGCTGCTCAGATCCATTTGAGGCGAGTGCTTTTCTTCTACATCCCTTACTGTCCAGGTTCTGGCCTGTGCTGGATCATCAGCCTGGCTTGACAGGAGGCTCTTGACCTCTTTAGGGTTCCAGATATGATTTGCCCTGGTTTAGGGCAGTGGTTATGATCCCAGCTGTCAGGTGCCTGCTGAATGCTTAGATTTGTAGTTTCTCCAGAGTTGGTGGTTGGTTTCTCTTCACTGCTTTTGGCCATTAGCCTTAGAAGATGCTCTTGGGGGAGCGTGGTAGAGCACTGCCTCTTGTGACAGCGCCTTGCTGACGGTACCTTGACAGGTATCATCGCTTAGACTCGCGTAGGCAGCGAGAGATCTTGCAGCCTGGTTGGTTGTCATTCATCTGAGTGCATCAGACTCATTTAGGATTTTCATTGCCTGCCTGTTCTTAGTGGATTTGCCTTGAAATAAAGAGTAAGTAAATGCCAGTTAATGTCGCTACTGCACAACAGCCTGTGTAGACAGCGGGGAAGTGACTCTCATTTTGTTTCATCTGCAGGATATTCAGGTTGATCCATCTTTGACTGAACAGTTTCTGTCTCCTTAATGGGAAAAACAATGATCTGCTCCAGAGCAGTTGGGATTTCTTTTTACTCTGCATGCTTAAAAGAAGCTTCCAACGTGTGGTAGGAGAAACAGAGTTCAAAGAAGAAAACCTGATTTCTGAAGTCAAGGAACATGGATTCTTATTCCTTACCCTTACTAAAGCCTCAGACCGAGGGGTAGTCAAAGACTTAAGTGTCAAAATAGCTTGAATCAGCTCTGGCAGTGTGTAATTTCTGTTAGGGAGCTGAAGCTGTAACTCTGGTAACTGTCACTGTCTCGCTCCAGGTTTAGTCCTGAGCTCTAGTTCACAGGCAGTTGGACAGATGTAAAGAGTCATGGCTTGCTTGGAAAAACTCAGGAGCCAAGTGTGCATCAGTGATTCAGGCTGTTGGATGGCGTGTAGGACAGATGACTTGCTTCATGTCACTTACCTTTGGCTTTACACTCGCAGAGGTGGGAGGACAGTGGAACACCTTGGGCTAACTCCAGTTCATTTCAACCCCCTGTGTATGTGGCAGTTGAGTAGTTATGTTCATCTTAATATGACTAAGCAGCAGTCTCAGTTCAGTTCCTCACCACATAACTGAAGAGGGCAGCAGAGCCTTCCCTGAGGTTGTGCAGCCTATTTTAGTCACATTATTTGTAATAGAGATCTCATTTGCTGCTTTGTTATTATCATCATTATCTGCTAAATGCCACCTTCCTCTTTTCCCTGGTGTAGGATTAGAGGACCTGTGCTCTGTTACAATCGCTTTTTCCTGTTTGAAGTGTAATTATTTCTACTCTCACCTGGTTTTAGGTGATGGAAGGAGAGACACTGTGATGGGCCCATGGACTTGCAATGTGAACTCGTGACAGCAGGTACTTGTATCAGGTCCCGGTGGTCTGAGGTACCTGGGTAAGGCTTGGGTGCTGTGTGTCTGTTGGCCATGGTTTTCTCTGGTGTCAATGTATTAATTTCAGTGTTCACAGAAATGTTTGTCTTTATTTATAGCCTATCCAAGAGCTGGGCTGCAGCAGAGAAGGTAAGAGCTTGGGAAGGTGGGGATATGAGAACCAAGCCCTCAGTAGTTAATCTGGCCTGGTTCTTTCTCATCTAATCCCTCAAGTTTTATGGACAGATGTTGGATTGATCAAGTGGCTGCTGAAACCATAGCAAAATGACAAGAAACGGGGCCTTTCCAGCCCTGACCTTTCTTGGGGTCTATGGTTTTAGCATTGGAGAGGCAAAGAGACCAGTCTGAGACTTAGATCTTTAACCCTTCCTGAAGTGTTGCTTCTTTCTGCCCTGTGAGTTGCAGCCCCAGATGAAAGTCACCCATCTGTTCAGGGAGCTGGTACCTCGGTGTCTGCATTGAGAATCACTGTGTGTAGTGCTTGTTGCTAGAAACCATTGAGTTGCTTGGGCTCATCCCTTTGCTGTGAGTTCAGCTGAGCGTTGCTCTCTGCTGTATGGGGGAAGGACACTGCTGGTTGTTACCAGCTGTGCTTTAAAGACAGGAATTCCTGTTGCTGGTAAAGTTTAGGTCACAGCTCTTCTGAAATCACTGTCTTTATTCTCTGGTTTGGGTTATGAAGGCCTTGCCTGTGGCTCTTGTTTCAACAGGTAAGTCTGGATTGCTTCCTTAGGTAACCAAGCAGATAGTCTCAGTTAGGCTTTGCTAGGTAGAACTGTGTGTAGACAGCAAAGTTTTATTGTTTATGAATGAAAACAGGTAATGCAAAACCTTGAAACCTAGCTTACCTTGAATTAAAGCAAATAAAATCTTAGGAGATGCAGTATCTTAATGGCACAGCTTGGAAGAATGATGTAGGGATTCCCGAGCACGAGTCTTGTTTTAATGGCCATTACGTCTCTGCTCTTGCAGCTCAACGCACCAGGGATGAGCTGTCCTCGAGAAGAACCCCTGCATCTGCCTCTCATGGCAAGTGGTCCAGGCAGTGACATACCCATGTTAGCAGTTCCAGGTGGGTGTGTTACGTGTATTTGAAGTCTTCTCTCTTGTCCTCTGCAGTGTACTAGAACCTACACGTGCTCTGTATAACTCGTTTCCTACCTGCTCCCCTTGTAATGTCCAGTTTTCCTAATAAACATCTTTTGAAGTCATTGCTTTGTGCCTGTTTTCCAAGGGTCTGAGTGTTCTCGTGTGTTGCTTGTCTTCAGCGATGTATTCCCTTTGGATCATGCAGGGAAGAGGAGAGCAGAAAGTCATAATGGCTCCCCTTGGGTGGGAGCTTTAAACTGCCAGGTCAAAATACAAGACCTTTTGTAATCGTGTCTTGTGTTCTGAGTATTCTCTTGGAGCATCCGGATGCTCCAGAGCAGAGGGAAAACCATTTTGAGCAAATTGAAGAAACTTCTCGTGAAGCAGAATTAATTCTGATTGACTGGAGAGCGATGAGGAACCAAATTGGAAGTTTGTGACGTGATTTGATCCCCGTGAAGAGCCAGGGCCTGCAGGAAAGTTCAGCCCTATGAAGTGAAGAGTTACCTTGCACCTCCACGGACACCAAGGCTTTGCCTTCATCCTGGGTGGGTTTTGTTTCGAAGGAGGACTGAGCAGAGAGCAGAATGCACCCAGTGGTCGTTGATGTGCAGCTCCTGGCTGTGTTGGCAGTTCACATTGCTGCCGGGGGGGAGGTGGCCTGTGTGCCAGCAGGAGGTGACAATCTGTGTGTGTATGTGTGTATTTACTTCAAGATCCCTTTCTTCTCTAGAAGCTCCCCGCCGTGTCGTGTAGCTCAGTTTGGCTTTGCTCTCATCTCAGCTGTGCAGACATTACCAGAAGCACTCAGACACTCTTTTCCGTGCTCGATCCTTTTCACATACAACGTTGTGCTTGTCTTGCTGAGCAGCAGGAATGAACAGTCCATACAAACGGCTACTGCCGCAGCAATAAGTTCAGGAGCTGGCACGAGATGATTTTGGAGCCTTGACCAATGAGGATTACAGTTAATCCTCTAGCAAACATCTTCAGCACGTTCCAAGCCATCCCAAAGTTGTGCCGTTTGCCTCGGCAATAACCCTCTTCAAACAAGCACAACCACCTCCAGTACCTTGATGGGGTACATCCCAGTGTTGGTGCTGTCTGTGCAGCACTGATGCGGTGGGCTGGCAGGCAGCTTGCTCCCTGGGGAGAGGATGCTGTGATGTTGGATGCAGTAAAAATTCAGTGAATATCTCTTAGGAGGGGAAAAAAAATAGGTTAGATCTTGTAGCTTTACCATCCTTGGAGTAAAGCTTATTGCTTCCATGGGGCGAGAGGTCTGGCCTGGAGGAACCATGGGCTGCTTGCAGATGAGGAGCCATCCACTGCCCTTTGAATCCACCAGGACATGAATAAACCTGGTTTATATCTGGTTTGATTGTGCGAATTCCTGCTTCTTTGAAGGCATCTGTGAAGTGGAAGGAAATCTCGTGTCTAAGTTGTATTTTGGGGAAGGGAGAGGGCAAAGAGCAATGGCATAGTTTGGGTTGGAAGGGACCTTAAAGCTCACCCAGTTCCAACCCCTGCCATGGGCAGGGACACCTTCCACTAGAGCAGCTTGCTCCAAGCCCCTGTGTCCAGCCTGGCCAGGGATGCAGGCTTCCTCTCGGCTGCAGGATATCAGTGGTGTTGCTCCGATGCTCTGTGAACTGTAGGTGGCAGGGATGCTCCAGCCTCGCAGCATCTCTATAGCCCTTCATGGGGAAGTTTGAGCAGTGAGTTGTTATCTGATGTATCAGACACAGTTCCACAGGGGGAGCAGGGATTAAAGGAGATGGATTCAGTCATTTTAACCATCCTATTGTTCTATTTATAGTGAGTTCCTGGTTCCTGGACAAGGTGTGAAGACTCTGTGGGCTTTAGTTCTTCCACAAAAGCAGCATTTCTCCACAATGTGAATTCCTCTGCTGTGCCAAAAGCAGAATGAGGAACACTTTAAGGACCTCATTAATGTTTGCTTCTCCTTTCAGCAGACCACCCTTTACTCAAACTCTGTGATACATCTATTCTCATTTCTTTCTACTCATCTGAGAACCTTCAACCTCCACAGAATCTGCATTTCCTCATCAGGAAAGCAAATAAGCAAGCCAAGGTAGACCTAATATCCTGCTGCTTCTAAGAGCCATGTCATTCCTTTGTGCATGTGTCTTCTTTTTAGCCCAGCAGTGGTTACTGTACGTGCGAGAAGGACCTGTTACCGTGAAGCTGCTTCACAACCTGATACTTAAAGAGTGGGCACAGGTTAATAATGTAAGTAAGGGGCTACAAGGAACCTGCAGAGGGGCTTTGGCCAAGGACCTGTAGGGCCAGGCCAAGGGGAATGGCTTTAACCTGCCAGAGGGGAGACTGAGATGAGCTCTGAGGCAGAAGCTCTTCCCTGTGAGGGTGCTGAGGCGCTGGCACAGGGTGCCCAGAGAAGCTGTGGCTGCCCCATCCCTGGCAGTGTTCAAGGCCAGGTTGGACACAGGGGCTTGGAGCAAGCTGCTCTAGTGGAAGGGGTCCCTGCCCGTGGCAGGGTTGGAGCTGGAGGAGCTTTAAGGTCCCTTCAACCCAAACCATTCCATGATTCCCATAGAGGAATAGCTCACATCAGGTACCGTTATAAAGGTCTGACTGTGTCTAAGTAAACGTGGTTTTTATCTTGGCCACTATAGCCTGGCAGAATTAAAAGTCATGTTGAAGAGCCCTGGGTTGATGTTCCTGCTTGGACACATACGAAGGAGCATTTGGTTTGTATAAAGCATTGCTTCTCAGGAATAAGGGCTGCAGGATTTGATTCAAAGTGCTTGATCTTTGGAAAGCAGTCTGAGGTTTGCTGAAGGTGCCGTATTCAGGCATAAAAACACAGAATGAGGAATACAGAAGTGTATTTATAGTCAGAATAATGACAATTTACAGGGTCAAGATCGTTGCAGTGCTCCCAGCCTAGGAGCTCTGTATTGAACAGTGATTGAATGGTTGGCTTTTCAAAAGAGAGAGAAAAAACCCCTTCCAACCAGCTGAATAATGCAAACCAAGTCCTTGCTCTGGTGAGAAGCCAGGCCTGTGTTTGGAAAATTCCATGGGCTTTTGGGTTAAGCAGTGAACAAATGGACTCGCTCTTTGCAGCGGCTTGGATTTGTCATAGAGCATAGTCATAGAGCAAGAACCTGGGGGGCAGAAGCAGTGGGCCCTGGCTCTGCCTCTGCCTCTGCAGCCTTGGGGAACGCGCTGCCTCATTTGTGCCTTGGCTTTCCCATCTATCAGCCGGGGCGAAGGAACTCATCCAAGCTCCCAAACTGCCTGCAGTGATTAACAGAGCGTTGCCCCAGCCCCTCGAGAGGATGGGGGTCCACGGGCATGTGCTTCACACGCTGCCGAGCCCCCTGCCCGTGCCATTCAGCAGCCCCACGTTCCTGAAGCCACCTGGGGGCACCTCATTGGCAAGGGGCTGATTTGCAGAGGTTCGCTGATGAAGAACAACGCAATGGGAGTGTTTTCCTGCTGGGCTGTGAAACCAGCGGGATCACGGGGATGCTCTCATTCGGCTTGGCCGCTTTCACCAGCTCCCCCCTGCTCCCAGGGAGCGTCAGCCCATAGGCAGCCGTGCTCCGAGTGCTGCGGCTCCATCGCAGCACTCTGAGGGGCGGCCATGAAGAGGCAGGTGGGGAATGGTCAGGGTTAGTGCGTGCAGTGGATGGTCTCTGGGGGTGCAGGGCTGCTCCTCATCCTGCTGGATCCGGCTTCCTTCGGAAAGCAGCGGTCGGAATTCCTTGGGGCAATAGCTGCACATCCTCACTGGGGTTGCCACCAGTATCCCTAAGCCCCGGATATGATTTGGCTCGGGACTCGCAGCAGTTCAGCTTCTGAAGGCCCATCCATCAGCATTAGATCCCCTTGGGCAATGCTGTGGTGGGTGAGTGAAAGGACTTTGCCTTGGACTCCATCCCTCCCCGGAGCAGAGGAAGCCTGTGCTGACAGGACAGGAAGCTCTCAGGAGCCACAAGGACCTGGAACTCGCTTCTCGCCTTCCTGTGGGCCTTCCCCAAGGCTCAGCCCGGCTGTTTAAAGGCTATTAATAGCATTAAAACCACGGACAGGTTTGTGTCTTCCTGCTGCTGTCAACGACGTCGTTTCTTCAGCTGAGACCTTCTGGTTGTGTTTATTCCAAGCAGTCAGAGATGGGCCCGGGGATGCGGTGGTAATGGCAGCGCATTTGGTGAGAGCTAACGGGCAGCCAAGCAGGGATTTCACTTTGGAGAAGGCTCTCGGGTCTCCAGTGCCAAACAAAGGGCTCCAAACCGGGGCAGGCTTTAGCACTGGGAAGGGTTTTGTTTGTGCAGCAGAAAGCAGCCACTTCCTCCTTGCTGTGGCTGATGGTTCCCGTGTCCGCCCTGTCCCCATCGCTCATCCTGTTGTACCTTCTGCATGGCGATGGCCCAGCTGGGGAATGAGCTCAATCATAGAATCACAGAATAGTTCGGGTTGGAAAGGACCTTAAGATCACCCAGTTCCAACCCCCTGCCATGGGCAGGGACACCTCACACTAAACCATGGCACCCAAGGCTCTGTCCAACCTGGTCTTGAACACTGCCAGGGATGGAGCATTCACAACCTCCCTGGGCAACCCATTCCAGTGCCTCAGCACCCTCACAGGAAAGAATTTCCTCCTTATATCCAATCTAAACTTCCCCTGTTTCAGTTTTAACCCATTACCCCTTGTCCTGTCACTACAGTCCCTAATGAAGAGTCCCTCTCCAGCATCCTTGTAGCCCCCTTCAGACACTGGAAGCTGCTCTGAGGTCTCCACGCAGCTTCTCTTCTCCAGGCTGAACAGCCCCACCGTTCTCAGCCTGGCTCCATACAGGAGGTGCTCCAGCCCCTGCTCATCCTCGTGGGCTCCTCTGCACTTGTTCCAACAGTTCCATGTCCTTTTTGTGTTGAGGACACCAGAACTGCACACAGTGCTGCAAGTAGGGGCTCACAAGAGCAGAGTCAAGGGACAGGATCCCCTCCTTAGCGCAGAAAGCAAAAGGAATAAAATCCCCCGTTTTTGTTTTAGTTCTTGTTAGGTTTTATTGCAGTCAGTTTCTAACCTGCATCTCAGGCACAGAAACAAGAGCGATGGCAAGAAGGTGAC